ATCACCCCCCAGGGGGGATGGTCACGCTGCAATCCCTTCTCCTCCATTCTCCTCTCGGGATCTTGGGCACGCGCGCACACGCGCCCGGCGTGAGTTTTAAGCCACCGGGTCCGGGACACGAACCGCGGTCGACTACGTGGGAGTCCAGCGACATAGCCATTACGCTAACTGCTGGTTCTCTAAAGTGGTAATTTCATGAGGGTGCTTCTCTCTTTCTCTTTCTCTCTCAGTCATGAAAGGAATACATAAGCTTTAAAAATCCTGCTCACAAATTCTTTTTAATGAATTCACTATGGCTATTTCAATCAGAAGTATTATGAATTGAGTAAAAAAAGGAGAGTTCATATTTGTTGAGTGCATATGCCTTATCTAGGACTCATATATTATTTCATCTAGTGCTAACCACAAGTCTGTAATGCATGTACGATATACATTTGATTGCTTATAAAACTGAGGCTTGGAACACATAAATAAGAATGGCTCGAACTTAGATTCACTCTTGCTCCAAAGGTCTCTCTTTCCAACCCAAACACTACTTTCCCAAAGGCACACAGCCGAAGTCCACTGTGGGCTGCACTAGTTGTAATCCTTTCCATGGCGACAAATAGGACATTCCAGCATTTTTGGAGAGGATGGAAAGAAAATTCACTTATAAATATTTAAGCATGAATAATACGATGATAAACTACTTGAAAACTTTCAGTTCTATCACTAACCTAATCTCACATTTTAGTATGAATGAACTCTAGGTCCTTGCAGTTTATTAGTGATAATATAATTATTCCCTTATTATGACTTATGGTTTCTATAATTTTTTAAAAAGTATTTGAACTAGATAAAGCTTGGAGAATTTCAGTTTACAGAAACCACTTACTAGGCTCTGTGTCTCCCACGTCTTATTGAGAAATAGAGTAATTGCAATTACAAGCATCTCACGTTTTGTAAACAGTGTGAGTTCCAAAAGTTCAGTAGTTAGTCGTGTGGAATCAGTGCGTATTTTCCCATTGACCTAATCGAATAAAGGATGATTATTTCCCAAGCTGGCATCTTCTTATTCTCAGTCCCCACCTCTTGCTTTCAACCCCTGAAACATAGAAAAGGGGAAAATCTGCTTAGAGCAAGATGAATACTGTGTAAATTCTAGAACACATTGGGGAGGAACTTTGTAATTCAATGATGAGCAACAGTTCAATGGACGAAGAATGATTTTACACAAGATAAGCTACCCCTGTCTAGGAAGTTGCTGTTGGTCAGTAATCCAAAAATTCTTCTACATTTTTTTTTTTTTTTTAGAATCTTCTCTTTTTACATTTCTTTTTGTCTTTTTTTTTCTTTTTTTTTTTCTTTTTTTAAGAGATTTTTGCTATAGGGAGCATGCTCTTGCTAGAAAGACAAAGAAAGACAGGGAGAAAGAAAGAGAGAAATCAACCCCCAGGAGGGATGGCCACTCTGCAATCTCTTCTCCATTCTCTTCTTGGGATTTAGGGCACGCACGCACATGCACCTGGCATGAATTTTAAGCTGCCATATCCCAGACTAGAACCTCAATTGACTATGTGGGAGACCAGCGACATAACCATTAGGCCAACTGCTAGTCCTTCTATTTTTACATTTCTGAACTGATTGTTTCTTGCCATAGGGCAGGTGCCACCACGCCCCTGAACTGATTGTTTCTTGAGTGGCTACACATGAATTAAAGTGATAGGAAAGGGAAAGTGCAAACATTCTTTCTTTCTTTTCTTTTTTTTTTTTTAGGTTTTTGCCAAAGGATGTGTGCACTCATGGGAGAGAGAAAGAAACAGGGAGAGTGAGAACTGTCCCCCAGGGAAGATGACCACACTGTAACCCTTCTCCATTCTCCTCTTGAGATATGGGGCACACATATACATGTAGCTGGTGAGCTTTTCAAACCTCCAGGTCCAGGACTCAAAATGTGGTCAGCTATGTGGGAGTCCAGCACCTTAACCACTATGCAGGTTCATGATGTGCAGATTCTCTCACATCTAATACTTTCTAAAATCAATGGTGAGTTTAAGGATGGAGTGCCTTAAATAGCACTTCCATTCCCAAGCTTCAAAATTCCTTATTAGCGATTCTTTTCTTATCTCATTTTTTTTCTATACCCAATCATTTCAGGAATGAAAGTGCTTTTATAGAGTATTTTGTATTTTTGAAGCGATTGTACATTTTAAAAAATTTCATATTTATAACAATCTCTGACAATAGTGGATTCTTTTGTTACTCTTCCAGCTTTATGGATTAAAAATATCTGAAGATTTGAAGCATAGGTTGACTAAGTTCTCCCAGGCCCAAAACAACTATACTCTGGTTCTTCTACATCACAATTCCAGGTCTATTCCTCCAACTTTTTGTCTGCCAATTTCATTCACACACACACACACACACACACACACACACACACACACACATATTAAAAGCCATGAGAAGAGGCCTGAAAAAAAAAGTTGTTTTTGTTGTTTGCTGTTACAGATTAGTACCCAGGACATTCTCTGGCACTTAGTAGGTACTCAATAAATGTTGAATAAGAGAATTTCAGTCATCGTTATGATAATGATTAGAAAAAGAATGCTATACATATGTAATTCTACATGCTTTTTTAAGAAAGCTTTTCAAATTGTCATCACATGTATAAGAGACTGCGTGTGGCTAAGAATTCAAGCTACTTTTCTATAAGGGATGTTGGGTATACCCTGAGTTCTTGACATCTTTCATCTGAATTCTGAATTGCTAATCCTAGCTACCAGAGGACTAGTGAAAACAGAAGAAAATATCCCCAAAGACATATCAGCTTCCGGGGCCAGCAGGTGGTGTGATGGATAAGGTAGCTAGATTCCCACATGGCTGACCATGGTTCGAGTCCCAGACCTGGTGGCTTGCTTTCTCACTTTCTTTCTCTCTCTCCCTGTCTCAGTCTGGTCAAATTACAAAAGAATAACAAATGAAATTAAATAAATAAATCATTTTTAAAAATAAGAAGTCTCAGCTTCCTATTACTCTTCTCAGTGCTTCACATTATTTCAAAACCCAAGGAATGGTTCTCAGACTTGGTAAGGAATTATACAGCTACACAATAACAAAAAAAAAAAACATAAAAATAGCCCAAAATGTCAGGACAACATTCCAAGTCTGTGGCTCAATAGAAACTGTAGAGAATTATCTTCTAGAATAAGGAATTTGAGTCCAAATTTTAGCTAGCTCCTAAATTGCCTGACAATTGATTCCTTGTCTTATCTTTACTCAATCCATTAAAAAACAAAACAACAAAACAAACAAACAAAACAAAAAACAAGTCATAGAGAATATAGCCTTTAATCATCACAGCCTGGTGTGAAATAACAAGACCTTGGGTTTCCATCTAGTTTTCCAGGCACTGACTATAAAAGTCAAAACCTAGGTTGACTGTCATCCCACAGGTGACGAGAGTCCTTCCAGAACTTCGGAAGGAAAGAAGAACAAGAATGGAAAGGAGAATGAGAGAAAAGAGAAAACACAAAACAACAGCAAAGAAGGAGGAACCTCTTCAATAGCTGTGCTTTATTTCCTTCATAATAATTGCTCTCGGCACTGACAGAGCTTTATGCTATTGATGATAACTAATGCCCACCCAGAAGCCATATGCTGTACGGTTCACATGCGTGCTCTCATTTGTTTGAATCCTCACCAAAATTCTCTAAGGCAACCACCAATATCTTGAAGAAATTGAGACCTATTAGCTATGGGCACATAAATAGAAATTAACCTATCTAAGTCTTGAGGAGGGTTCTCTGAAATCTAGGCCTGCTCCTCACCTTCAGATTATTGTACTGTCTCCGAAGAGCCATACATGTGTGTGCTGGGCCATGGTTAAGCTGTAATCACAAATATTTCCTTGCTAGTGCCTTGATGGCTACCTTTCTCATCCGAATCTTATCAAACAACTTATCTGAAGTTAATAGATAGTGAAAATGCAAGTGAAAAATAGTCAGCATGTCTGTTCAGGAAGGAGGCACCTTGGAGTGGGCCATAAGTGAGCCTGAAATATTATGTAATTATGGTGTGAGTCTTATTTTCAGTAAAACTAGCTTGAAGGAGGAGTTATTGCATGTACTGCATCCCCCACCTCTATCCCACCCCTTCATCGCATATGTATTCCTGCTCCACTGTAAAAGGGTACAGAATTCAGAGTGGTTGCCTCACTCACAAAAAAAAAAAAAAAAGAAGAAGAAGAAGAAGATAGCAGCCGAGTTTTTGACAGAAGGATCCAGAGAGTCATTTCGTACAGTAGCATGGGATGTGTCACCCTTTAGCCACCCCCTCCAGCTCCCAAAACACCTTACAGTGTTAGCAAAAGAGAGGAAAGATATTTACCTGGTTCTATTGAGGCTGAAGCCTGAAAGCCATATATAACCTTTGAAGGACTGTAATGGTTTTTTAATCACAGGAATAGCATCTTTTTGACAGGAAGGAGAGAGAAAAGAGCTGAAGCACTCTGCAAATACTAACCAGGCTATTTTGGAGCAATGGGTATTGCCTTTGAAATCTTTCATCATAGGTCTATACTTAGAATTCAGATGAGCCCAGGGGGAGGGGAACGGCCAGTGTTAATCCCCAGTTGTTTTGAAGCTGTCCTGTAAGTAAGTTCGCATCTAAACTGTCCAGTGGGGAAGCGTTCAATGCTTTAACTTACCTGATTCTGTGTTTTTTGTTTGTTTGTTTGTTTCGTTTTGACCCTGTTCTGAATACAGATTGTCACATCACTCTGAGAGGTGACACTTCTCACTTTTCTTTCAAACTAGACGTTCTAGGGAACACTAGCTGTAATCACATTGGGAGACTGATGCTCCATGACAGCTAAAAGTTGGATTGAGTTTCAGGAGCTACTATATATAAAGCTGGGTCGACTTATGTCACCGCACTAATTAAATGCCATCTGGGTGGTTCCTCTGGGTTTTTGAGTCCATCACCCAGTTCAGACCGAGTCAGAGGCCAAGGAGGAGAACATGATGATGGACCTTTTTGAAACTGGTTCCTATTTCTTCTACTTGGATGGAGAAAATGTTACTCTGCAGCCGTTAGAAGTGGCAGAGGGCTCCCCTTTGTATCCAGGGAGTGATGGTACCCTGTCCCCTTGCCAGGACCAAATACCCCCGGAAGCTGGAAGCGACAGCAGTGGAGAGGAACACGTCCTGGCACCCCCGGGCTTGCAGCCTCCCCATTGTCCAGGCCAATGTCTGATCTGGGCTTGTAAAACCTGCAAGAGAAAATCTGCTCCCACCGACCGGCGGAGAACCGGGCCACTCTGCGCGAGAGGAGGCGGCTAAAGAAAATTAACGAGGCCTTCGAGGCACTGAAGCGGAGGACTGTGGCCAACCCCAACCAGAGGTTGCCCAAAGTGGAGATTCTGCGGAGCGCCATCAGCTACATTGAGCGGCTGCAGGACCTACTGCACCGGCTGGATCAGCAGGAGAAAATGCAGGAGCTAGGGGTGGACCCCTTCAGCTACAGACCCAAGCAAGAAAATGTAAGCCCTGATTCTGCTGGGGCAGGGAGACGCAAAGGCTGATTAAACGCTTTCCTCAGGGCCTTAACCTCCAGCTGCTTGGTCTCTTTCTCCTTCCCCCTTTCTCGCCCGCCCCTCCCGCTCCCTCTCTAATGAACCCCCAATGACCCAAGAAGCCCGGGTGCAGGCAAATAGGCAGGAAATGCGTACCCGGCCTGAGGAAGCAAGGGAGACACCCCCTCAAAACAACCCCCTTTGCATCCCCCCGGAACTGATTTTTTTCCCCCTAATCTGCTGCTGCCTCGGTTTTCCCTGCAGCTCGAGGGCGCGGATTTCCTGCGCACCTGCAGCTCCCAGTGGCCAAGTGTTTCGGATCATTCCAGGGGGCTTGTGATAACTACTAAGGAAGGTAACGTAAAAGAAAAGGCACTGGGCTATGCTGGAGTACATCCCCCGGGAGGGGGCTGGAGTGTGGTTCCGGGCAGAACCGGCTCCAAGCGAGAGCCGGGACGCGCCTGCGAGAAGGGCGCGCTTTGCGCAGTAACCTGGTTCGCCTGCGCTGCCAAAGGGGCCTCGCGCCCCGCCGCAGCGGAGCTGTCTGTTCTCCTTTGGGTGCTATGTCCTGTGTGTATGTTTGTGTTTGTTTTCTGTGCTCAGGAGGGACAAGCATAGATGCGTCGGCCTCGAGCAGTCTTCGATGTCTTTCTTCCATTGTGGACAGTATTTCCTCCGAGGAACGCAAACTCCCCTGCGTGGAGGAGGTGGTGGAGAAGTAACGGCAGGCGGGCGCTTGGGACAGTCTCCACGCGGCAGGAAGACCCACCTACACGCCGCCCCTCGCCTAAACCTTTAGATTAGGTCACTTGACATTAACATTTAGGAACCCAGACCGAGAAGTTTACAAAAGGAAAGGAGACGCACTCACAAAGACACTTCTTGGAAACGGTTGTGCACGCTCAAATGAAAAAGCCTTGGCTTTGAACTTTTATTTTTTGGACCTGCGAGTGGCTTAAGGTCTAGCTTCCTTACTTTGTCCTTTGGTTTTACTATATATTGACTTTTATTACGGTGATCAATTTGTGCCATATTCAGAAGAAGTTCATTCCTGTCTAAAGCAAAGTGGGCACGTTGCGTTTGTTAGTGGTATTTAATGTATTTTTTTTGTAAATAGTCTTAGTACGTTCATTTTTTAAAAATGTAAACCTAAGAAATATATTTTAAACTTGGAATGACATTGTACATACACCGCGCAAAGATCCTGGCATTGTAATATTGATATTAAAAATACGTTTCTATATGAACAAAGTTTGTCCTCATTTTTCATTTGGAAAAATACGTTTGAAGGTATGTGTACAGACATAAAGAGGAGACATACTTAAATGCAGACGTCATACGGGCCCACTTATCTGTATGTTTTCTTTAAGGCCAATTTAAAGGGAAGAAAACAGGCTGTTTTCCTTTGTCTGAATTAAACTGGATACTTCTACCGTGTAGACTTCACACGTGATTGGAAGTGAAGAATACCCAGAAGTTACCTGTCCTTTATTCTTTTCATCAGCGTCATTTTTCCTTTCTCTTCCTGTTTTTTACTACCTTATACCTGTAGTGCTGGGTGAAATTTACATACCTTTACTCAGCAGTCGAATTTGCAATCTAGTGAATTCTTATTACAAGATATTACCAAACACACACTCACATTTGCTAATTTCTCTAAAGGATTGGGAGTAATTTAGCCCAAATTCTTTCCCTTTAGGACTTGCCCAGCTGCTCCCTTCCTGGGGAAGCATGATGCTGGGGTACCCAGGGGCTTCGCTGGTCTCTACTCCACTTCTCTTGAACTAGACTGGTCCCAGGCAGACTGGAATATCCTCAAGGCCTCATTTGGCTTCGGTTTGTTTTCCAAATACAAAGATAAAAGAAGAGGGCAATCTGTCCCTTGAGGTGGGGTGAGCTTCTTTGAAGGGGGGTTGCTGCACGTGAAACAAGGGTTAAGCGGTGGAGCGCAAAGACAATAACAACACACATGAAACCTCTTAGCAGGGCCAAACAGTAGAGCCCCAGAGAGGCTGGAAGCCGCAGGAGCTCCTCACCGTGAGGATTTTACAACGTGTGCCAGGTTTGTTTATCCTGTAACCTCAGGAAGAAACGACCACCAAGAAGCCACCGCAGTGGGAAGCGAAGAAGAGAAGAGCAAGTCCTGTCTTTGGAATTGCAACTTCTTTCTTATAAGCTGTGAATGAAGCCTTCACTCCTTCCCCTCTCCTAACTTCTTTCTTCCCCCCCGCCCCTTTCCGCACATCTAACTTTCAGTGCACAGATACAAGAAAAAAAAAATTGAATTCAGCATTTTGCAATCCAATCTTGTTTTCCTAACTCTCCAAAGGTTGGACCCTCCCACTGGGGATCACAGACGTTCCAGATGTCACCACAGACAGCGCCCCCTGTAGGCATGGAGGTATATCTCTCCCCCAATTCGAGTTTCTTCTAAAATAGTCTTTTTAAAGAATCATTTTATTTATCTTTATTTATTTAATTCGACCAGAGAGGGACAGAGAGAGCGAGAGCGAAAGTGAGAAAGCAAGCCGCGAGGTCCGGGACTTGAACCGTGGTGGGCCATGTGGGAGTCTGGCACCCTTATCCATTATCACCTTCCAGCCCCGTCTTCTAAAATACATTTAAGATGCAGAAAGGATGATTGAGGAAACTGATACCGATATATGATCTTATTTAAGGTCTGAGGGAAGCTGGTGGGAAGTGTACTGAGCCTCTATGGAACCCATGCTGCTGCTGCATGGCCTTGGGCTGGTCACTGTTCCTTCTCAGTCCTGTGTCCTCATTTATGAAATAAGGAGGCCAACAATAATAGTGCCTGGGAAAGTGCACTGGAATGAGCCAGTCTTAGCATTTTATGTGTAACTCATCATCTTACCAAACCAGTAAGAGGTAGTTTATTCTATTTTAGAGAAGAGGATCCTTTGGAACAGAGAAGTCCTGGCATCGGGTAAGTATAGAGCCAGGACTCAGAGCCAGCCGAGTATGAATGGGTACAAGACTGTGCTCTCAAATACCAGGTACCCTGAAAATAAAGTCTTGGGAAATGAATAAGGATCACTTTATGGTCTGTAGAATAATCTGACTCCCTTTGACTATTCTCTTCCAAAAGTTCTTTCACAAGTGTGTATTTAATTCGACCAGAGAGGGACAGAGAGAGCGAGAGCGAAAGTGAGAAAGCAAGCCGCGAGGTCCGGGACTTGAACCGTGGTGGGCCATGTGGGAGTCTGGCACCCTTATCCATTATCACCTTCCAGCCCCGTCTTCTAAAATACATTTAAGATGCAGAAAGGATGATTGAGGAAACTGATACCGATATATGATCTTATTTAAGGTCTGAGGGAAGCTGGTGGGAAGTGTACTGAGCCTCTATGGAACCCATGCTGCTGCTGCATGGCCTTGGGCTGGTCACTGTTCCTTCTCAGTCCTGTGTCCTCATTTATGAAATAAGGAGGCCAACAATAATAGTGCCTGGGAAAGTGCACTGGAATGAGCCAGTCTTAGCATTTTATGTGTAACTCATCATCTTACCAAACCAGTAAGAGGTAGTTTATTCTATTTTAGAGAAGAGGATCCTTTGGAACAGAGAAGTCCTGGCATCGGGTAAGTATAGAGCCAGGACTCAGAGCCAGCCGAGTATGAATGGGTACAAGACTGTGCTCTCAAATACCAGGTACCCTGAAAATAAAGTCTTGGGAAATGAATAAGGATCACTTTATGGTCTGTAGAATAATCTGACTCCCTTTGACTATTCTCTTCCAAAAGTTCTTTCACAAGTGTGGTTAATTAGTGAATTCTAAATTAGAGCAATAATTTTAATTCAAATATAAGTGATAAAGCACTTCAAATTATCTAAGCAGAACATGCATAAGTATGTCTGTGTGGTGTATACCTATTAATCATGCTTATTTTCTATCTATGTTTTGTTCCTGATAATCAATAGAGATTTGTCCCAAAACATATACACTTACAAATATGATTTTAAAAAATCAGATTAGTTACATGAGTAAAATGAAATATCATAATTGACCAGGTGACTTCATTCACTTTGTGGTTTTATATATATATATATATATGTATGATAAAATTTGTGTTATTAAAGACTAAGCAGTAGAATGCTTTTATCACTTCATGGACTTTACTGGTTGATGGATTTTATTTAGTCTTTGCAAACCAAATCCTCTCTCTCTCTCTTAGTGGGTAACTTGAGAAATTGTTTGGAATAAGTTGCCTATAGAAGTCTCTTCATTAAATAGAGCAAATATTTCCCAAAGACTTCATGTGACCTCCACTGCTGTAGCTGACATGTTAGGCTTTCCAATGAAATCCTTGGTGTGTTTGCAATTAAAATGTTTTTGTTTGATATTAATGATGATAATCTTTACCAAGGCCAAAGCCAAAACAAACAGGGCTATGAAAGCAGAAAATCAAGACATAATAACTTAGTAAAGATAAACAATCTGAATCTGAGCCTCTTTCTGAGGCACATAGAAAGTTATCAAACAAAACAATGAGTAACTTTTTTTGTTATATTACTATAGAATTTATATTGTGGAATGTCAAATGTCAGTTTTCTCTAATCATCATGCTGAGGTTATTGAATTCTAAGCCTGAACTTTGTGGATATCCACTTATTGTCTAATTTTTTTTTTGAGCTCTTTCCCATATTTTGTGAGCAGACAGGGTGCAGAAATTCATCGTTCCCAACTACTCTTACAACTGGCAGAGAACCTTTGGGATGTTAAAAGTGACCTCCATCATTAGTGCTCACTGCACTCCGGTAAATTTCTTTTGAGATCACCTCACCAAAGACACATTTGACTTAAAGTTAGAAGAGGTACCTAATTGTGCTTTTCTCTTCATAATATTTTATCTCATTTCCATGTTTCCAAACCCTTCTCCCACAATACCATATCTGGAAATTTTTTTCAAAAAAAGGTTTTATTTTAAACGTTGAATATCTCATTGCCTAATCCAGAGCATGAGTAAATGAGCAATAACATGGTTTTTGTAAGACAAGTCATCAAGATGTTTCTTCCACCCGTCCATCTAGTCACTCCATTAAACTGATTAAATTGATAAAAGACAATCTTTGGGCCTAGAGTTTTCACTGCCAAGAAAAAACAAAGCCATTTTTTATAAACCTAGTACAGAGATAGCCTGTGAGAGGGAATGGCTATGCCATGTGCTGAAACGGGGAGAATGCTGTAAGGACTGGCTGCTTTCTCTGCTCCCAAGGCTGCTACATGTCCTTCCTTAGGCCCTTTGATCTCTCCTGGGAGTCTTCGAATTCAAGCAGAGGCCAATGTCTTCCTCAGCTGTCTTCTCCACAAATTCTTCCAGCCTCTCTGGCAGGTACTAATGTGTTTACTTAGGTGTGCCTGGGTCCCAGAGCAAATAGCAGTTTGACATTGTTTAGCACATTGTGAAGTCATCTACCATGAGCAAAAATCTCAAGAAGAACTCCTTTTATTGGGAAATTCCTAAGTGTCCACAGGTAGAGGTGGAAATGAATTTAAATGGATTTATCTATGTATAGTTGGCATCTTCCTCTAGGAAAAGCATGGAGAATTGGCAATACTGCAGAATTCTTAAGGTGAGTCAAATTTACTAAGAAAGGAAGCTAAGCGCATCACTTCGCTGGCGTGGTCTGTCCATCAACACTAGTGTGTTGTCATCAAGCTTCTGCCCCAAACAGGCTGATGACGTAAAGGTCATTTCAATG